ATGAAAAGTAAATTAAAATCAGTTGAATTGCATGTAAATGTTGCAAATAAAGATATGAATAATATGAATCAAAAGGAAAAATGGCATCGTTTATTAGGTCATGTAAATTTTAAATATTTGAATATTTTATCTAAAGATCAGCTGTTGAATGGAATTCCTAATGAGTTTGAATCTGAATTTATGAAATGTAAGATTTGTATTGAAAGTAAAATGCATAATATTCCGTTTGTAAACAGTAGAAAAAAAGCTAAAGATATTTTAGAGATTGTACATACTGATGTTTGTGGGCCTTTTCGAACTACTGGGTTTAAAGGTGAAAATTATTTTGTTTCTTTCATTGATGATTATAGTAAGATTTCTAAAGTATATGCTATAAAATCAAAAGCAGAAGTATGTGATTGTTTGAATGAATATACGAATGAAAGTGAAAATTTGACTGGAAAGAAAATAAAGATTTTAAGATGTGATAATGGGAAAGAATATTTGAACAGTAAAGTCTACAGATTTGCAAAAGAAAGGGGTATAGTAATTGATAATTGTCCTACATATGTACATGAATTGAATGGGACTGCAGAACGGTTTAATCGAACTATAATGGATATGTCAAGATGTTTGTTGGCTGAAGCAGATATTCATAAAAAATATTGGCCTGAAATAGTTTGTGCTGCGGTTTATTTGAAAAATCGTACTTTATCTGATACAATTGAAAAGAAAACTCCATATGAAATATTTTTTGGACAGAAACCTGATGTTTCTAATTTGCGTTTGTATGGAAGTAAAGTTTTTGTACGAAGACCAGAACAGAAGAGAATCTCTAAATGGGATAAGAAAGCTGATATGGGAATTTTAATTGGTTATAGTAATGTTGGTTATCGTGTATTATTAAATGGCAGAGTCATTGTTGCTAGACACGTGGATATTGTTGAAGAAAACGTTAAGTGTATAGGTTTAGACTTTAACGAATCAGATAATGATAATAATGAAGAGTGTTACCCTGATAAAATTGATGAAAGCTCTGAAAATGACTCAATAGATGAAACTTTTGAAAGTACAAATGAAAGTATGGATGATAGTGTGAATAAAAATGAACCTGAGTTACCTAGATCTCACAGAGCCAAAAATCCTCCAAAGAAATTTGATGACTACTATGTATATAATAGTAGTATTTTTGTAAATATGTGTAGAACTGATATACCACATACATTTGAGGAGGCGATAAATTCTAATGAAAGTAAGTATTGGAAAACAGCTATGGACAAAGAAATTGATAGTTTAAATAAAAGTAAAACTTGGAAATTGGTTAAAAATGATACAAACAAAAATATTCTGGATGTTAAATGGGTTTATACTAAAAAGTCTGATAATACTTATAAAGCTAGATTGGTTGTACGAGGTTTTCAACAAACTGATGAAATTGATGATATTTATTCACCTGTGGCTAAAATGCAAACATTAAAGATTTTATTGTCATATTGTTGTCAAATGGGCCTAGTAATTGAACAAATGGATGTTGAAACAGCCTTTTTAAATGGTAAAGTAATTTCTGAAGTTTATATTAAACAACCTAAGGGTTATGAAGATGGAACAAGTAAAGTTTGTAAATTAGTTAAAGCTTTATATGGTTTAAAAGAAAGTCCAAGGGCATGGTATGAGTGCCTAGATACATTTTTGATAAATTTAGGTTTTGAAAGAAGTAATATTGATCCTTGTTTGTACGTTTATAAAATTGGAAATGATATTATTTACTTATTAATTTATGTCGATGATTTATTGATTTGTGGTAGAAATTTAAATGAAATTAAAAGGATTAAAATTTTATTATCAGAAAAATTTAAAATGAAAGATATTGGTGAAATTAAAGAATATCTTGGTATTACTGTTGATTATGATTCTAGTAAACATGAAATGAGATTGGATCAAAATAAATATATTGAATTATTAAGGAAAAAATATAATTTAGAAAAAGGTAAACTGTATAATACACCTATGGAAGTAAATTTAAAAATTGATAAATCTGATCATTGTGAAAGAAATATTAAATATAAAAATTTAATTGGTGCACTATTATACATAAGTTCGGCAACAAGGCCTGATATAAGTTTCAGCGTAAATTATCTGAGTAGATTTCAAAATTGCTATAATGAAACGCACTTTAAATATGCTGTACGAATTTTGAAATATTTATGCTTAACTAAAGATTTAAAATTGTTTTATAACAGAAATGAAAAAGTAAGTATTATTGATTGTTATGTGGATGCCGATTGGGCAGGTGATCATTTAGATAGAAAGTCTACAACTGGTTTTGTAATAAGATTGTTTGGTAATGTAATTTATTGGAAATCTAGAAAACAAAAAAGCGTTACAAAAGCTTCAACTTTTGCAGAGTATGTAGCATTGTCAGAAGCAGTAAGTGAATTGATATTTGTAAAAGAATTGTTGAAAATATTTGATATTGAAATAATAAAGCCAATTGATGTTTATGAAGATAACACTGGTACAATTAGTATAGCTAATTATGGCAATTTTACAAAAAATTCTAAGCATGTTGAAATTCATTATCATTATGTAAATGATTATGTTAAAGCAAATGTTATAAATGTGGTTAAAGTAGATTCTGATGATAATATTGCAGATATTTTTACGAAGTCCTTGGGCCAAGATAAATTTGAAAAATTTCGAAGTATGTTAAATTTGAATTAATGTAAATACAATGTAAATGTAAGGAGGCGTGTTGAGAATGTAATACATTTATATTGTATACACAGATATATTGGTGTAAGAGTAAGCGGAACGCACCCATAGTGTCATGGGTTGACATGACAGACAATAATAGTAATGTCAATGAGTATCATGTAGTTGTAGGTGGTAGTAAGAAGTATGGTGGCTTAAGTTAGGTTAGTTAATTAGTATGTATGTTATAGGAAATAAAGCCTTTTATAATAGTAGTAAAGTACGACTATTTATTTTCCAAATCCACACCTTAACACGTACTCCACTTGCCTTACACTATGTAGAAATGTGATTAATTCACTTATACACTAATATTATCTAAAAGTTTATTAGTACTTCGAAAAACAATTAAAACTCCTATAGCCAGTCTACCCTATAACAATTTTATTTGTCAATTATAAGTCTTACATTGTTACGATATGTTGAATTTCGCAAATGAGTTTCATTCGATAACGTTTCTTAGAGTTTGGATCACCACATATTAATAATTATTATTTCAAACAAGAATATTCCATCAGTAAATTTTCATGAATCAATCTGTGATGAAAAATGTGCTGCGCCAGGAGTTTTGGAGAGATTACTGAATGAGTCGCTGAGTAGAAAATGTTCACTTACTTCCTGTAAGGGTGGAGGGGCACTTTTGAACTTGGGGTGGATTTGAACAATTTAAACTTCAAATTTGTTGTGTTTGCAAATGTAACAGCGAAAGTAAGGTTTTTGGTATTTAAACACATCTGTGTGTAATTTTTATCTTATCTATGTTTCTATCTAATCTTGTCTCTCAGTGATATTCCAAGCATGATTCGTTCTATATCTCTTTGCGTTGTTTCTAATTTTAAGCAGATTTTTTGGTAAGGGCTACTATCTCCAAGCCGTAGGTACAAACTGGTAGTATGCATGTGTTATACACCTGCATGGTGTTTACAGGAATGGAGGTATTTTTCAAGATAAATGCTAGTTTGCCGAAAGCGTCCCATGCCAGTTGTGTTCTTCTTTTAATTTCAGCATCTTGATTTGGTTTTCCTAGTTTGATGACATGACCTAGATATAAATAATGTTCCAACATTTTCTATTGTATGATTTTGTATTGTTATATTTGTCTGGTCTCGGCTCAGTATTTTTGTTTTACTGTAGTTCATTTTTAAGCCTACCGCTCCTGAAACTGCATTGTATTGTTGTAACATATCATTTAGTTCTTGGATATTATCTCAAGTGGTTTAAGTATGATCCGTCGACGTTGATACCCTTGTGGTTCAATTCTAGTTTCTTAAAAATGTCTTCTAGAGCAAGGGTAAATAATTTGGGAGAGATATTGTCTCCTTGTCTTACTCCCCGTTGTAGTCTTATGAGATTAGTTTTTGTGCTTTCATCCAGCTTTATCTGCATGGTGGCATTTTCATATATGTAGCGCAAGTACTGAAGAGTTAATAAAAAGACACTGTGCAAATCTCAAATATATTCATCGAAATAATAATAATCTAACGGCTTGAGATGCAAGAAAAGTATCAGCACTGTAGTATCGGAGAAGGGGTGAACTAAACGAAAGACAAACGTGTAGAAAGTGTTGCCTTACTTCTAGTACAGTGAGGAGTTGATAATTTATTACAGGTAGTTCAACAGTTATCTCGCAAAGATTTTTTGTAATTTGCCCAAACTTATGCCTAATGGACAATTTTGTCCCAAGTTACGGCAAGATATTGATCAGTACAGGAACAAAATTAATTAAAAAGTGGACTAGTGAAAGTGAAAACGTAGCAGCACTGTACTAGTGAAGAAAAACTAAACTAAACGAAAAACAAGCATGTAGAAAGTGTTGCCGTACTTCCAGTACAACAAGGAGTTGATACTTTTTTGCTTTAGTGTTGCAAACACTTTTTTTTAATTTGAACTAAACTTGTCCTTAATGGACAATAATATCCTAATTTACGGTACCGTAAATCTGAAATAAACCTGTAAAACTATTTTTAATCCATAGAGTATAGAATCAGGTATCTCTATTTTTGTTTTAAATAGTGTTTTGTATATAAATAAATTAATTAATATGTGGTAATCTGTTCTTTTTAGCTAAAAGTATAAAAACCTACTTACATCTATTCCATTTATACAAAGCTCAGTTTTATAAAACCCGTTATTCTGATCATATTACAAAAAAGATGACTAGGTCAGTATATAAAATGTTACCAACAGTTTTTCTACCTCTAAAAGTAACTATTCTGGATAGGACTTTGAGAATTAAGTTTCCCTTACATAAAATACACGAGAGAGAAGATTTATAAAGCTGTGCGTTCGTCATATACTATGACTGCTTCGTTGTCCACTAAGGAATCGGTGTCTTTATGTAAAAATTGACTTCTAGACTTACTTAACGCTATTATGGCAGCTTCGTCGTTCCTCATCCTATTTTTCCGCTTCTTACTAAAGTTTACCTACAAATTAAAAATAATTACATTATAATTATAATTTCTAAAGGTATTGTGAGATCGTCTAAGGTGTAGTTGTGTAATCAAATTAAAATTATGTAATGTTATCAATAATTTACTATACGGGTTACTTTCTTATTATTTCGAGTATTATTAAACTCTACAATAAGCTTTTTATTATCTTTTATTTTAAGATACATTAAATACGCACGTGATGATGATTCATTATAAGGATAGTCTCTACAACTTAGGCAACCAACGATGCCGACGTTAGTCCGGGTTGCCTAACAATGTCGTATAACAAATCTATGTAAGTAATTCTTAGTTTAAATTATAAGTAAAGTTAGAAATCGCGGTGCTGTAGACGTACATCAAAATATAAACAGAAAAGAGGTCCGGACTGATAGATAAAATGGTACAAATCAAAATTATGGAAAATAAAATTTAATAAGTAAAAAGTGATAGATGACTTATACTGGATTGCTTGCTGTTTACCTTTTTATAACATCAGGATTCTACTGAATCTACAAGGTCAAATTTGAAATGTAGCTAAATCACTGTTTTTATTTCAATATTTTTAAGATGCGTCTTTTATGCTATTTTAATACTACACAGGAAAGGATGAATAATTAGGAGTAACCTGTTACCCGCATATGCAGATGACATAAATCTCGTTGGAGACTCCACCCTATCCACGAAAGACATCTTCAACAAGGTGGAAAGAGCAACAAGAGAAGTAGGGCTGAAGATCAATGAAGAGAGACGAAATATATGTGTATAAATAGAACGACACGAAGAGACAGAATAAGACAAAATGTGACGGTCAACACCCCAATTTCGAAAGATTTACAACGTTTGAAGTATCTGGGGGCCGTAATCACAGCTGACAACGATGTTACTGAAGAAATAAAAGACAGAATCCAATCTGCAAACCGCTGTCTATTTGCACTGGATAAGCTCATAAAATCAAAAAATCTTACAAGATGTTCGGAGATTAAAATCTATAAATCTATCGTCAGACCTGTAATAACATACGGATGCGAAACGTGAACCATGACCAAATCAAACGAAGAAAAGCTTAGACGCTTTGAACGAAAAAATACTTAGGAAAATTTTCGGACCTCACCATGACATCACTACAAACCAGTATAAGATCAGAACCAATATCGAATTAAAAGCACTCTACAATGACGCCGATTTTTTTATAGCCATTTTTCTATCCAAATTGTCAAATAAAGGCCTCTCCCATTTCTCGCCATTCATCCCTGTTGTGTGCTAGGCGTTTCTACATTGGTCCTGCGACTCTTTTGATATCATCGCTCCAGCGCATTTGAGGTCTTCCTCTTGGTCTCTTCGCATCGTACGGTCGCCAGTTTCCGACTTCTTTGTTCCATCTACCATCTTCGAGACGTTCGTTGTGTCCAGCCCATTTCCATTTTAATTTAGCTGCTTGTTTCCGGTGTCCTTTATTTTTGTTTTGTTCCGGATTGCTTCGTTCGTTTGCCAATCTATTAGTGAGATACCAAGCATCTATCGTTCCATGGCTCGCTGAGTTTTTCGAATATTGTCCATGTTCTTTTTTGTGAATGTCCAGGTTTGAGCTCCGTAAGTGAGAACGGAAGGATACAAGAATCAAACACTTTGGTTCGAAGGTTTTGGGGTATCTTTTTGTCTTTCAGTATGTATGAGAGTTTTTGAAATGCGGCCCATCCCATTCTTACTCGTCTGCTTATTTCGGTAGTTTGGTTTTCTTTGCTTACCTTGATATTCTGACCCAGATATATGTATTCTTCTACATGTTCCACTTTTGGATGGTTATCGTCGGTTGATCTTTTTTTTTCAGTTTCAGTTTTCAGTTTCCAAAAAGAAAAGACGCCGATATTGTCCAAGAAATTAAATCACAGCGACTAAGATGGGCAGACCACGTGCACAGACTGCATAACGAGAGACTTGTAAAACTGGTATGGGAGGAGATTCCCACAGGCAAAAGACTACTCGGACGTCCCAGAATGCGATGGAGAGGTAACATCCAAGCAGATCTCCGGAAAATGAACAGTCCATTATTTGACCCTAGGTTGATGGAAGACCGAACAATTTGGAAAAAAGTTGTACAGTCAGCCAAGACCCACCCCGGGTTTGTAGCGCTACGTGACGATGATGATGACGAACACGGAAAAAGAAAAAAGAGATAGACAAAAGATTAATGAAGGAAAGCAGAGCGATAGGGTCACTAAATTCATAACAGAAAGCAAAAAATGTGTCAAGAAGAGCTAAACTGCGAATTTACAAAACAATAATATGACACACATGCCGGTGAAACGTCTACTATGAACCAGCAGGAAGAAAAGAAGGTAGATATCTGGGAAAGACAGGTGCTCAGAAAAATTTTCGGAGGAATAAAGACGGCAGAGACTATTTGGAGAAGACAAACGAATAAAGAAATAATGAAGATGTAGGGAAAACCAGCAATTATAGCAAAAATACGAGCCTAAAGAGCTAGATAGCTTGGTCATATTATACGAATGCCAGAGAATCGAAATGTTAAAACAATACTTAAGAAGGGGGGAAGGAGGAAAAGAAGAGGACGTACAAAGAAGAAATGGCTGGAAGCAATAAAGCAAGACTTATCAGAAATAGGCGTGACAAATTGGAGAAATAAAGCAAGCGACCGAAAAAAATGGAGGAAAATAACCAAGTTCTTAGAAGCAAGGGCCTACAATGCCTATAGTGCTGCTATATGGAAACATGGCCCCATGAAAGTCAAGAAATTCACCTGGATCCTTTTGTTTTCTCTGTGGCGAATAAAATTTGGATTTCTCATAAAGTTAGCAAACTGTGTTTGGTTGACTTTCGAATCTGGTTTAAGGGTAAATAGAAAAGTTTCCACTTTAGGGTAGGTACTTATGGTATCGAGAATGAAAAAACCATGGTAACAACTGATACTAGCTCTCGCGTGATGTCTAAAGCGTTCAACTGAATATCAAAAAATTCCAGTTTATATCCATCCAAATCTTCCCCCAGATATTTGTCCTCGTCTAGAAATACCTGTGCCAAAGCCCTTGTTACGATAGGAGAAATATCATACTCAGTTGAAGGTGAAATACAACCTCAGGACTGAATCTGTGACTTTACAGATGGCACTGGACCAAAATTGTTCTCCCAGGAAGAAATAAATGATTTGTTTAAAGATGTGGACTACCCAAAGATAAACAGAGTGTCCTTTCACCGTAAAACAGTAGCTTCTATGTTTCTTCTCCTGTTGGAAAGATTGTGTTCTTGAAAGAAGTCTATGGGATCTAAACAATGAGTTTTTAAAAACTCAAATATGCAGATCACGATGTATGATGCTTGGGCAGCAAGCTAGTTACACCAAATATCCTTGTTTTTTACGTCTATGTCATACTCGAGACGACCGAAAAAATCACTGCTCAATGAAGAGTTGGGTGCTAAAGAGTCTTGTGGTTGGACAAAGCAATGTTCTGCGAGCAAACTTGGTACCACCAGAAAAAGTTCTTCATCCCTTTTATATAAACACGAGCCTTATGAAATAATCTGTCAAATATCTCCCAATAGACGGAGAATGTTTCAAATACTTGATTAAAAAGTATCTAGATCTCTCCGAGGCAAACTTGAAGAAAAGTGTATTAGTTGGGTCAGATAGAAAAATTCTGACGGATTAAGTACTTGCCAACCATGTCAATGTCCAAAGAGAAGGATGGTTCCCATTTAAGGATGTTATGAAGAAATATTTGAGCAATTATAAAGATCCTGATAACAAAAATAGTGTCAAAAGAATGCTAAAGAATTTTCAAGACTTGGTTATCTCATGAGCCTAAACGTACATTTTGTCAACTTCCGGCTAAAGTATTTTCCTGAGAATTTGAGTGCTGCGAGTTAAGAACAAGGATAACGTCTTCAGCGAGATATTAAGAAGACGGAAACAAAATATCAAGGAAACTAGAGAACAACAATGATAGTAGACTAGGTCTGGATGCTGTAGGGGTCATTCCAAAGAGTATTTGTGATAGTTTCAGATAGTTGTGCCTTTTAATTCAAATTGCAATAAGGCTTTCATTCCATAACAAGTGCTTACTTGTATAAGAAATGAAGGTACGAGAAGAACTTAACTCCGATAAGAAAATGACCTTCGACAATTTAGGATTTTTCCGATTATTACAAAACGAATTATTAAATTAAATGAAGCACTAGAGTTGCTTCATTCCGACAAGCAGAGGAAGAATATAAACAACTACGTAAAGAAGAAAAGAAAATTCACCGAAGAAAGAAGAGAGAATATATCAACAAAGAACTTCAAGAACTACAAGAACTAAGTAAACCAACAGAGACAAGAAAATTTTACCAGAAACTCAACAAAAGCAGAAAAGAGTTCAAACCGAGAACAACGATGTGTAAAGATAAGGAGGGTAATATATTGACAGAACAGCAAGAGATACTTAGAAGATGGACAGAACATTTTAAGGAAAAGCTTGGGGTGAATAGGACGGAGATGAACCCTGATATACCATTAGACCAAGCAGACAACAGAGAAAAGAGTCCACCAACAATAGCAGAGATTAGAACAGCAGTGGACAAATTAAAGAACAATAAATCACCGGGATCGGATCAAATATCATCGGAGCTACTGAAAGAAGGAGGAGACGCATTACTTAAAGCCATACTTGAGCTGATAAGAAAGATATGGTTGAATAAACAGCTACCAAAGGAGTGGAATAGCGGCATTATTGTACCACTACATAAAAAAGGAAACCAGTTAGAATCTGAAAACTACCGTGGAATCACGCTATTGAATGCGGCATACAAAATAATGTCCAACGTAATGTATGAAAGACTTAGACCATACGCTGAAAAAATAGTTGGCAAATACCAATGTGGCTTCTGTAGACAGAAGTCAACAATAGACCAGATATTTGTTCTGCCACAGATCCTTGAAAAAACAAGTGAATATAACATCGACACACATCATCTCTTCATAGACTTCGAAAGCGCATATGACAATATAAACCGAGAATTCCTAACAAAAGCAATGAAAGAATTTAATATACCAACACAGCTAATAGAATTGATAAAAGAAACACTAAAAGTAGAAAGTAAAATCCGGATACAAAACGAATTAACGGAAACAATAAATGTGAAGAAGGGACTACGCCAGGGAGACGCTCTATCATGCATATTATTCAACATCATACTTGAAAAAATAATAAGAGACACAACAGTTAATACCCGAGGAACAATAATTAATAAAAGCGTGCAAGTACTAGCATTTGCAGATGATGTTGACATAATCGCAAGATCAAGAAGAGAAATGATAGAGGCATTCACTCAAATAGAACGAGCTGCAAAAAATAGTGGTCTTAAAATCAATCAGAATACAACATTGAGGCGGTAAAAAACTTTACATACTTAGGATCCCTAGTTACGTCTGATAACAACGTTGCAGAGGAAGTGAAGACATAAGACCGGTACTCACATACGGTTCAGAAACCTGGACACTCTCTAAAGGGAGGAAACGTTATTAGCCACCTTTGAAAGAAAAATCTTGTGACACATATATAAGGGCACAAAAGAAAACGGGATTTGGCGGAGAAGGTATAACTTTGAACTATACAACATATACCAGGATCCGGATATCATAACATTCATTAAAATAGGAAGGCTACGTTGGATTGGACATGTGGAAAGAATGGAAGAAGGCGAAATACCAAACAAAATATTCAAACAAGTGCCAGTAGGAAGACCGAAGCTGAGATACGTAGAACAAATAGAAAATGATATAACAACATTAAAAATTAAAAACTGGAAAAAAAAAGCACGAAACAGGTCAGAATGGAGAAGAATCCTTGAACAGGCCAAGACCCAAAAAGGGTTGTCGAGCCAGTGATGATGATGATGACTAGAGTTGCTTACCTTAGCGTACAAGTCATTAATATCATCTTCTGTTGAAAGAGGCCTGGGTTTCGACCTTACCCAAGCCGGTAAACTTCGAGTTTTCAAAGTTGGTTCTCCGCTACATTTTTCCTCTTTGGTTCCAACTTCATCTAAAACTAAAACCATCATGTAAATATGAAAAAACGAACTCAAGTTACCCACAGAACTAAAATAACATGATTCGCTACTGGTAAGAAGAAAAATATTAATACTTACTACTGCTAGAAGCATATTGAGGACTGCTTGGTGAAAATTCTGATATATCTGGTAACTGAGTCTTTGGAACAATCTCATCACTTACGTTCGTAGCCACTGGTTGACTCAGCGGCCTCTGTTTTTTATTTATTGAACTATGTGTGGGCACCTAAAATAAAATATCGATTAAGACAACATTGTTATCTAGGTAATAGTTAACTTACATTATTTGATGATGGTCCAGGATTACTGGAACTTCTTGGCACCGGACATACACCCGGGCACTGAGTACATTGAGGACCACCGATCACCCTTGAAACGTACCAAGGGCTAGGTTGAGTATGAGCAACAAGTCGGTTACTGTATCCCCACGAACATCCTTTTTGTTCAGCGAACACTGCGGATTGAGTCGGGTAGGCCGGGGAAACTACTGCAGGAACTTGCGTTCCTGTGGAAGTACCATCCAGATGACGCATACCTTTAAAGAAAAATACGTTAAGAAATTTTAATCGACTTTCGCATCGAGACAGCAAGATGAAGAGACTTATTTAATACGAGTTCCCTAGCTATCGATTTTAAAAAAGTAAAAGACATTAGGTATTCAGTTAATTAGTTTTTATTGAATAAACACAGTGTGATAACCAAGATCATCTAAGATCAACGATTAAACCTGTAAAAATCAGTAAGTAAGCAAAGTTTTTTTACACATATATAAGCATTTATTGTCGATCGAAAAACGCCCATCATTTTTCGAAGCCTTGATAAGTTGAGATATCAAAACAAGTTAAATTGTACAATTAAATTGCACAGCTTAAATTATTATTTTTTTTTTTTTGATATAATATGATATTTTCCATATTCTTGGATATGACTATTTCCCGTAATAAAGATTCTTTAGAGTACAACATTTATAGAAAACCCACCCAAACAGATCACGTTATACATGGAACGTCTAATCACCCAACTCAACATAAAATGGCTGCTTTCAACAGTTACATTCATCGGTTACTTAAATTTCCTCTTTCTGATGATAATTTTAATACAGAACTTAATACTCTTAAGCAGATTGCTTTCAATAATGGCTATGATCCTAACATTATATACAAACTTCTAAATAGAGCTAAACTAAAAATTGCAGACAAGCTTACAGATTCAACACAGTTTTTTCAACCTAATGCACCAGATAACATCAGATATTTCTCCTTCACTTATATTAGTAGCATTTCCAATAAAATATCTAAACTTTTTACTTCTACAATTAACATCAAAATTTCCTTTAAATCACATAACACTTTAGGTTCCTTCTTAATCAACACCAAAGATAGGATGAATAAACTTGATAAAAGTGGTATTTACAAATTAAAATGTGATTATTGTGATGCCTCTTATGTAGGTAGAACCATCAGAAAGTTATCCACTAAAGTCTCTGAACATTTGAAAAGACTAAATTCTTCAATTTTTAAAAGTGAAACTGGAACAAACCATGAAGTGGAGATATCCAGGAGTGGCTAGTATACCTGTTGAATACAAAGCACGTGGTGTTCGTGTGTATTAAGGTATAAAAACGCTTATTAAAAGCTTAAAATTTTTTTATTATAAAGAAGATCTTTTCGGAATTGTATCATTCCATCATCAGTTTAATAAAAAAGGTTGTTAAAAAACATTGTGTGGCCACATAAAAAACGTTCAGTGGACATCTGGATTTAAAAAATAATATTCTTCGTGTTATTTATTCAGGTAAATGCAATAGACTCTTGACTTGTGTAATATAAAAAATGAAACTGGGGGCATCTTATATGACCCCCTGTAGTTGGTGAAGTTTTATTGACTTACATTACCTCTGATCTATGTTGGAGTCTAGGGCTAACTGAGTTACACAAGTCAAGAGTCTATTGCATTTACCTGAATAAATAACACGAAGAATATTATTTTTTAAATCCAGATGTCCACCGAACGTTTTTTATGTGGCCACACAATGTTTTTTAACAACCTTTTTTATTAAACTGATGATGGAATGATACAATTCCGAAAAGATCTTCTTTATAATAAAAAATTTTAAGCTTTTAATAAGCGTTTTTATACCTTAATACACACGAACACCACGTGCTTTAAATTCTTTAAGTTTTGGTCAACACTTAGTATCCAGCAACCATAATTTTAACATCAATTCTGGTTCATCTATCTTACATGACATTAGTAGAAAGAAAAACTATCTTGAGTTGGATTTATTGGAATATTTGGAGATTACAAGGGAAACAAATGAAAACTCTTACTCAAATTAATTGAAATTGTACTAAATTTAATCCTATATTTAAAAACTTTATTACAGCTTCACCTCGTAAAAGACCCAGCTCGACTGTTTAGACTTCATGCACTGAACATTTCAATATTAATTTTAAAGTTCTTCCATTGACTGTGGATTCAACTGAACTACTTTGATTATAACCCATTTATATATTTTGCTTTCAATTTTGATTTTAACTTTTAGTAATTTAACTGCATATTCAGATTTTTCCTTTTTTACAGTACTGATAGCGCTTGGTGGACCATTTTATTGTAGTCAACCATCCACTGTCTAATATATTGTTTAGTCTTTTCTTACACTCATACTTTATGTCAACTTCAATCGCTCTCAAACTAACATCCTAATTATTATAGACAGGTTTGAGTGTGAGATTTGGATTATTCAATCTACATAAAAATAGGTATACTAATTTTATATTTCATCAGTTGATTTCCTATAGTGGTGTCAGTTGGACCTTTGGTCAATATTTAGTTTCATAGAATTTTGAAAGGTGCAGATCACATAACTGCCCTTTACAAGCTGTCATTTGTCACATGTCATCTCAACATTTCCGCTAGACCGGGAGCCCATTCTGTCTCCGGCTTCTATACAACATGTAGCTTCTCCTTTTGAAAAATTTTAAAGTGTTTGTTTGTCTTTGTGTATTGTATTGTTATGTCCAAATTTACATGTATGACATTCTACTTATGTCGGATAGGCCACAACTGACGAAGTAGGTCTATAAACGTTTATCACATAAAAACTTTTTTCAAGCATAAACTTGGAGTTTTTTATCCAAGTGAATTAATTTTCCTTCTTATAAAAAAACGTTTCTTGGCTTATTTTAGATGCCCCTGAAGAGGATCTATTGATCGAAAGTACTTGGGCAAGATTCAATTAATCACTGTGTTCGATAGTTGCCTTGTATACTATCAAAATTTAATTATTCGAACATTCAACCTTATATTGATAAATTATTATTGTGGCGTTCAAATAATTGATAACAAAAATTTAGGGAACCATGTCCCTTACCCTCCTCTGACCCTTCCCATACTTAATAACCCAACCCAATACAATTCCCAATCATACGCATCAATTACAACAAAAAATTCAAATATCCAAATTCCCTGATAAACAGCTTCTTCTTATTCTTCTAAATGTGTCTATCTTCTAGAGACATTGATCCATCTTATTCTATTCACGGAAGCTCGAAATAGATCATTACTTTCATTGACGACGTAAAACTTGACGATTATCTAATAGCCTTGAGCAGTATTGTAAAACCTATAGATAATATTTTCGCCTAAAGAATTTCGCAAAATAGAATATGCATTTACTTCTCCTCAAAAGAACTGGTAGATAACTTTTTTAAAAATTATGGTTCAATTGAAGTTAACAATAAAATTCTCACTGCCCGCAAATTAAACACTCCAAGTCAAAGAATTGTTTTATCCAATGCATGCCCCAGCATACCACATTTTATTTTAGAAGCAGAGCTCATATTCAGAGGAAAATAAGAAGGAAATAATAATCAACACAATAATGTACCTGAATTAAGACACGAAATAGAAATCAGTTTTCAGGAAGTAGAGATAGCCATAAATTCACTCAAAACTGAAAAGTCACCAGGACTAGACGGAATAACCAACAAGCTTCTAAAATACGGAGGAGAGAGTATGACCCTAGAGATGACAAAACTTATACAAAAACTAATATTGCACTGCAAGATATCAGACGCCTGGAGAAACAGCATAATAATACCAATGTTCAAGAAAGGAGATAAAGAAGACCCCAACAATTATAGAGGTATAAATCTACTGAACACCGCACTTAAGGTTACCACAAAAGTCCTAACCAATAAAATCAATAAACTAACAACTTTATCAGATGAACAACAAGGATTCAGATCCGGAAGATCCTGCGTAGACGCCGTATTTGTACTAAGACAAATCACAGAAAAGACCATCGAGTACAATAAACTAGCATATCTATGTTCTATAGACCTGGCAAAGGCTTTCGATCGCATCTAAGTCGAAGACGTCTTACACCTACTGTATAAAAGAAACATCTATCTATCTATCTATCTATCTATCTAATCAGCCTTAAATGTCCACTCTTGGGCATAGGCCTCCCTGTTAATCTCCATTGGTCTCTATTTTGGGCGATCTGCATCTGCAAAAGAAACATACCAATCAATATTATACAAACCATCGAAAACATCTACCTCCAAAATCGAATACAGGCAAAGATAAATGGAAAACTAACACAGTGTATACCAGTACAAAGCGGAGTCGGACAGGGTGCCTCGTTGAGCCCACTTCTCTTTAATATAATAATGGACGAAATAATACAAGCAGTACGTAAAGGTCATGGCTACAGAATGGGGAACAAAAAAATCCAAATATTATGTTATGCAGACGACGCCGCATTAATCGCCGAGACAGAAGACGAGCTCCAAAGATTAACACATATCTTTAATACAACAGCTAAGAAATACAATATGATAATATCAGCAGACAAAACCAAATGTATGCCAACATTTAAATACCCACTACGATGTAAAATCGAAATTGAGGGGAAAATAATAAAGCAGGAAGCAAGGTTTAGATATTTGGGAATAGATATAACTAGTTACGGAGATGTTGAAGAAGAAGTACGACAACAAAGCTTAAAAGCAAGTAAAGCGGCTGGTTCTCCTAATGATACAATCTGGAAGAACAAACCCTTAAGACAAGACACAAAAACAAGAATCTATAAAGCAGCAATTAGACCTATATTACACGGCGGAGACAAAACCTGACACATCTAAAACGAGACGACTGCTAGAAACAACAGAGATGAAAATACTCTGACGGATATCAGGGAGAAGTCTATTGAATAGGGAGAGAAGGGAAAAAAAAGAAGAGCATGCAATATAGAAGACATAAATGGATGGGTGACAAAACGAAAACATATCAGTAGAATGGCAGAGAATAGAATAGTACAAATAGCACGAGATAAGTCACCAAATGGACGAAGAAGTATTGGCAGACCAAGAACAATTTAGGAGGCTAATATTGAAGAAGAAACAGCTTTAAAGCATACATAATAATAATATACGTTTATTCAAATCAATAAGTATTACATTAATTTACAATTTCAGTTTACTTACAATAAAATAAACGTAAAAAAGTCTTTAAAGCATTAACATGCTT